GATTGGGGATGTTATGAGCCCCATCAGCCAAGGAATGTTGGCTGATGGAAACCAAACATTCTGCCTTCTTAGCAGCAGACCCTGCCCTGTGGAATATTCTTCCTTCAGGATGGCCCTGACTCAGTTAGCCTTTTGTAAGATTCTAAAGATCTAATGATGTCCCTGGAGTCCTGAAATTGTTAGGGGATCCATTACCTGGTTGCCTTCTTAATTTTTATGTAATTATGTCACTGTGTAAGAAATTTTATGAACTGGAATAGCCATAGCAACAAACCAGCCAATGAGAACTGTTTTTGATTAAGACATAGTATTGGCTGTGTGAAGCATGTGATCCAGCCTAGGTCTGGGAGTGTCTTAGTCTTCTCTGCATTTTTTTTTCTAGTCTCCAAGTTAAGAGTTGTTGATGTTGCCCAGAGCTGAATGAAATTGTATGTATCATGTTTATATATATTTTATACATAAAGTTTTTCTAAACTAAGCCTCCTGATCATTTTGAATGTGTGCTTATTTTGGGGCTTATTTTTGCATTGGAAAGCTGTAAAACTCCAACAGGTTATGAGCCCAGATGCCAGCCAGCCCTTGCACACCGTTCAGACTGAAGAAAAAGATTGAGGCTCAACACGGAGCTGTAATTAAGCTGAAGGACTGTCTGAGTTAAATAAACAAGAAAAAGGCAGAGGCTGCTCAGCTGAAGGCTTGCAGGATGGCTGATTTAAAGGAGAGCTCTCTGCCTCAATTGGGACAAAAGAATTATCTTATTTGGGCTGCAAAAATAGAATGCTTCCTGAAGGCTAAGGAGCTCTGGGATATTGTGATTAATCCACCCCAGGGGCAATTAGCAGCTACAGATCAATGGAGGCATGATAAGGCATTGGCTTACATCATCTCAAGTATGGAAGATGAACAATTCTTAAATGTAGCTGACTTAAAAACTGCAAAAGAGGTTTGGCTGAAGTTGAGAAGTGTCCATGTGAGTGAGTCAGCATGCAATATAGTGCAATTATCGAGGCAATTGTACAGAGTCCGGCTGCTGCCACATGAGAGTGGAGAAGAGTATTTGTTCCACATGCAGAAACTGTTTGTTGAATTAAAACAGCGAGGAATGCAGTTTCCTGAATCTCAGAAGGTGCTGTTGGTACTAAATAGTCTTGATGAAACATGGGCCATTTCAGCTGTTTTTGAATGCAGACCAGAACAGAATTAAGTATGGAAGCACTTAAAGCCTGTTTGATTTCTGAAGAACAGAAACACCATTTTAGAAGAAGCCTCAAGGAGAAATTCCTGGGGTGGGGGTCCAAGGAGCAGAAAGAGAGCAAAGCAGCAGACCTGCTGTCTGCAGAGATTGCATTACATCTCAGGAGAGAATTCCCAAGAGGAAAGAACAGGAGAAAAGGAAATGTTTCATGTGTGGGGCTGAAACTCATTTAAAGAAAGACTGTTTACAAGGAAGAAGAACAGCAAACAGACAAGCTGCTGTTGCAAAAGTTAGCTATTATAATAGCAGAGACAAATGGTTAATGGACAGTGGGGCTAGTCAAATAATTGTTAATAATTCTAAGTTGTTTTCCAGATTGGACTCAACTGGAGGAGATGCAGTGGCCTTAGCAAATGGCCAGAAGGCAAAAGTTATGAGGAAAGGCAGTGTGCTGATTCCATGTCTGGAAGAAAGGTTTAATAATGTATTATATGTGCCTGAAATGGAGCATAATTTACTAAGTGTCTCCAGTCTGGACAAACAAGGTTTGAGACCACATTTGTAGATGGGAAATGTCTCATAAAAAGAAATGGGAGTGTATGTGCACAGGGCATAAAGCAGGATAATCTTTATGTGTTGCAGGCACAAAAGATTCAATGTGCCCAAACATTTGGTAATGTGGCACAACATGATTCAGGCATTCATCTCTTGCACAGAAAGCTTGGCCATGCCAGCTTCAGAGTGTTGCATAGGATGCCAGAGTTTGCAGAGGGATTAACCTTGAAAGCATGTAAGTCATACTTAGACTGTGCAGTATGTAAATCATCGAGAGCTGGTTCTAGAGCTGGTGCATGCAGATTTAGTAGGACCAATGCAAGCCAGCTTGGGAGGAGCCAGGTGTGCACTAGTCATTGTAGATGACCATAGCAGATTTGGGTTCTGCTATTTGCTTAAGAGCAAAGCAGGTGCTGCAGAAGTTCAAGCAATGGGTGAGCTTTGCAGAAAGAAGATATAGGCAACAGGTATGCCAGCTGCAAACTGACGGGTTCAGAATTCATGTCAACAAGTTTTCAACAGTGGTTGGGACAGCTAGGAATACGACACAGATGCACAGTACACAGCAGCTGAGAATGGCATGGCTGAAAGATAGAATGGAATCTTGCAGACCATGAAAGACTCACTGCTGGAGGATTCTGGTCTGAGCAGGTCATATTGGGGTGAAGCCATGTTGACTGCTAATTATTTGGTCAACAGGCTGTGGAGTTCCTCTATAAATGATACTCCATATGCTGTCCTATATGGGAGAAAGCCATCTCTAGCACATTTAAAGGTGTTTGGAAGCAATGCATGGGTGTATATTCCAAAGACAATTAGGAAAAAAGGATAGCCAAAGGCTAGAAAGCTCAGGTTTATAGGCTATGAGCCTGGCTCAAAGAGCTATCGCTTTAGTGATGGGAGCAGAAGTATAGTAATTTCCAGATCTGCTAGCTTTGCAGAGCAGAATTGGAGCAGAATTGATGCCAGTTCTGGGGATGATCCATTTAGTGATGGTGACTCACTTAGTGATTGTGTCAGCGTTCAGGGAGGAGAATCTAAAAAAGGACAAGAAAAGGAGTCAGAAGAAGATGGTGACTTTGATGTGAAGCAGAAAAGGGTTGACAGTCAAGAGCAGTCAATGTCACACATGTCAGAGCGATGGAACAAGGGGATTCCACCTGACAGGTATTCTGCTGGGAAAGTAAAGGTGTGTAATGTCTGGTATGAGCCAAGAAACTATCAGAAAGTATTGGCACTACCCAAAGTGGAGCAAGTGAAGTAGAAAGAGGCCATGGACAAAGAAATGAAACCCATGGATGAACATACAGTATTCACCTCTATGGCTTTACCACAAGGCTAGAAAGCTGTAGGATGTAAATGGGTATACAAAAAGAAAGTGTTACCCAACAATGAAGTCCAGATAACAAACAACTGTAGCTATTTCTACTGTGGAGACAGAATTTATTGCTCTGTCTGAACTTTGTTCAGAGGTAACCTGGTATGTACAGCTGTTAAAGGATTTAAGTATAGAAGTTAAAGAAGCTGTAACAGTATTTGAAGATAATGCTGCTTGCATTAAAATGGCAACAGGTGACAGAGTGAAAAGTAGAAGCAAGCATGTGGACATTAAGTATTGTAATGTCAGAGAAGCCATCAAAAGTAAACTAATTTGCTTGCTTCATTGTTCTTCGGATGACAATCTGGCAGATGTAATGACCAAGCCATTGGGTGGAGTACACCATGGGAAGAGTATTAAATTATTTGGTTTTATGTCTATTCCAGTCATAAAGGGAGGAGTGTCACTATGTAAGAAATTTTATGAACTGGAATAGCCATAGCAACAAACCAGAACTCTTTTTGATTAAGACACAGTATTGGTTGTTTGAGGCATGTGATCCAGCCTAGGTCTGGGCATGTCTTAGTCTTCTCTGTGTTTTTTTTCCTGATCTCCAAGTTAAGAGTTGTTGATGTTCCCCAGAGCTGAATGAAACTGTATGCATCATGTTTATACATATTTTATAGATAAAGTTTTTCTAAACTATGCCTCCTGCTCATTTTGAATGTGTGCTTATTTTGGGGCTTATTTTTGCGCTGGAAAGCTGTAAAACTCTGACAAATTATGATAATTCTCATTTGCCTATATTAATCTTTACTGTTTTTATGATTAATTGTTGGGTTATTGAGTCAGTTGAATTGAGATGGGTGGCTGTAGAAATTAGATAAATAAATGAAATACATAAATATAATTCAGTATATGCTTCCCATATCTCCTGTTTTCATGGAATATGCCTCGTTTTCTGAAGCAATTTGCCAAGGAGCTCTAGCAGCAACTGCATTTTAAAAAAGTGTTTTTAATTAAATGTGTGGAAGCTCATTTTTTTTCTTTTCCTACAATAGTTCATGGTACTGTAAGCTTTAGTCTTTTGGGTTCCCTTCTAAGAAAATGTTTGAGAAACCTAAGTTGGTCAACAGAAGTGTAATAGATTTTTAATACCACAATTGCATTCTGTGTTGATAACAAATAAAAGTGTTTAGTTGGCTGTTATTAGCGGATTGTTTGGAAATAGATTCATTAGTCTTTGATAAAACATTGAAAACGAGATACCAAGAAAGAAGTATAACTGAGGCCAGCCTAATCCATGCATTAAAGTCACTGTTTGTGTAAACCAGGGGTAGTCAACCTTGGCTCTTTTATGACTCGTGGACTTCAACTCCCAGAATTCCTGAGCCAGCTGTGCTGGCTCAGGAATTCTAGGAGTTGAAGTCCACGAGTCATAAAAGAGCCAAGGTTGACTACCCCTGGTGTAAACTAACATCCATAGAGTACTTACTTGATTAGTAGAAGAATCCACAATACCTCATGTACTGATGCTATGGAAATAAACAGAAATCTGATCCTTCACAGGGCCCCTGCCTTCTTCTGGACCCAAATGACCCCACCCTCTTTTTCTACAAGGCAATGTAAGTGGAAGCGTTGTGCATGTTACCAACATTGTACACAATGTTACAGAGAATAGAAGCTATGTGTGCATCTTCCTTGCTCTCATCAAGGATAAATTGAAAAGAGGGAGAAATGTCATGGGAACAGGGCTCTCTGAGCATTCACACATGACCACTGCAGGGGAAGGAGGGGAAAAAACCAGACTCTATCCTGCTTTGTGAGGAGCTTCCTACTGCAGATCAGAGAGCTGGCTGTTTAATTTAAATGTGGAGCTTGAAATTCTGCCTTTTGATTGCATTGCCATGACTGAAGGATACTACAGAGGAGCTAAAAAAAAGTTTCCAAAGTAAAAGTAAACGCTAAACAGAAGAGGGAAGAGGAACGAACATAACCAAAAACAAATGAACTTACCATACTGCGAGTGAACTTTTCTAGAGAAGTTCTACGAGCTTGCTCGTTCTCGGGCTTTAGAAGGGGGAAAAAAAAGTTAAGAAGGGGGGGAAAAATGCCAAAAAAAAAAATCAGAACAAAAAAAAAAAAACTCTTCAGCTAACTTTGGCTTTAGAAGTGTTAGCAAAAGAAAACAAAAAAAAATATATTAAACATCTCAAACATAGGGCAAGTGCTGTTCGCAAGAGCAAAGCAAGAACTTTGTGCAATCATTCCTTAACTGCTTTTCTTTTGGGAAATGTTGCTCTCCTTTTTTTTTAAATGTAGCTATGGACATCTAGCCAAAGTTACATATATCAAGAAAATCAGATATAATGATGCATTCTGCATCTGTCAAGTCAACTCTTTTTAGAAGAAAACCATCATTTTTCAGTCAGAAGGTAGTGGTCTGGATTTATGATGGAATAATCCACTCTCTCTGTGTCTGTATGTACGCAAGAAAAGCCTGAGGTAGAACCGAATAGAATAAAAGAGGATATGAGTCTTATCCTATTCCTCTTTTCCAAATTTACTTATGTGGACATTTCTATTTTACTTTTCAATGACAAAATCAAATCCAAGAGGCTTACAAATAAAATGATACTCCTTTCTGATGTGTTGGATGTTTATATGAAAATTGATCAGGTTATCTGCTTTTTGCTTAACTTGATCCTTTGGAACTGCTGTGCTGTGGTGATCTACTCAAAATGAATCCCATTGTGCTCAGCTAGACTTACTCCCAAGAAATTATGCATAAAACTGCTGTTGGCATAAAGGTTTTGCTAGGCTACATACAAAACAATCACATTACTATTATTTGTTATTTTTGTTATTTGGAAGCTGCAACTATAAATACAGGAATTTTACTATAATAAGAAATTCACCAACACTATAGCTGTATTACTGTCCTCCAGGGAAACATGATTCAGCTCATTTGGCAGAAAACAAATCTTATTAAATATGAATGAAAGGATAATTTCCCAGCAAACAGGCCATTTAGTTGAATGAAGGAATTGTAATGTTCAGGGGCAAACCCATCAAGATATGACCTAAGTCAATTCACCAGTTTCAGGAGTGAATGATGAATTTGTGCATACATTTGGCATTATTACTAAATCAGCACAGACTATTTTGAGAACAGAAAAACCAGCACTCAGTTTTAGTTCCTAATTTCTGTTTATGTACTGTACTTATTATTAGTCAAATTATATCTCATTTACTACACTAGCCCTTCCAGTTTTCCCCATGCTCTAAATAGATTATATTAAATTTGGAGAAAGTTAGTGGTCCAAAGTCATACTCAGCTTTCATGGTTGAGAGTGAAGCTGAAGCTGGATTCCCAGGACTTTAAGACACCAACCCACTTTTTCCTGCCTCCTTAGGGAAAAAAACAATGGTGTATAATACCAGGGAAAAGTATAGTGACTCTAATTGCAAAGTTTCACTTTGTGTGCTAATTTTGTGTTCACAAAAGTTCTGTTTCCAGAAGACAGTATGTTCATGTTCCCTTTCCTAACACTTCTTGTAAAGCATTTAAGTAGAAAGGGAAAAAATAGGATTCCAAATCTGCAACAATTAAAAAATAGGGAAGCAGGAGAAACTTTCAAATGATATGTACATATATTTGTACATGGAATTCTCATGTGAAGCATTGCAGGTTTTTGTTTTTTGAGAACTGAAACCTGTGTGCACCTGAAACAGATTGGAGCTGTGTGCGTTTGTGTGTGTTTGAGACCAAATCTGTTTAGGTGCCATACTCTGTAAACACTTATGTAATGAAGCAACTGTGATATTAGAACTGAAGGTGCCAGGTTAAATGTCAACTGCATGTGAAACCACACAATGTTCGCATGTTTGCATGCTGTTTTAGTCTTCCCCAATTTTCCAGCACTGGTTGGAAATTCTAGGAAATGCATCATATCAGGAGGTTGTCAAATTAGGGAATGCTGCAACTGTTTTTTTCCCCCTACTAAGACTCTCTGACCTAGGCCATTTCACACGATTGGAATTGGCCTGCCAGGGATGACTGACTGAGTGAAGGAACATCCACTATAGTTGTATTGAGCTTACAGCCCTAAACACTATATTACTCCTAAAGGCTATTTACAAACAGAACAATTCTACCCACTGAAGTCTGGATGCAATATATTTAATTACTGTAAATATAGAATCCACATGTATAAATAGACAGGGAGTGGCTCATGTAGTTTTCAAACATACCCTTCTCCTTAAAATGTAAAGGAAGGAAGAACAACTACAAGACAACAAGACAACTCACTGTTGCAACCAGCCATTGGGCATGGCTACACAGAGTTAAAATAATTAGGAAATCCTTCACTCTAGTTAGCTGCGGGGAAACTAGATGAGAATACGTGGATCCATATGTTTACTTTTTCAGCTCTTTGTTCTTCCTTTCTTTTCCCTGCTCCAATCTGCCAGTACTGAGTCCTTTAAAGCATCTATTGTCAAAGAGTCATTACCTCACATATGGACATTCTTGTAAAGAAATAGATACATGGATTTAAAACTATCTAGAGCTAAAATTGAGCTTGCGGTAGCAATAAAACCTTACTATGGGGGAAAAAAACCATGCAATTAATTGGAATAATCTAAGGAATAACTATCTCAAGCCATGTATAGATAGGAAAAAAGGAGTCCTGGTGAATGAATGCTGTATACCGAGAGGAAAAAATAATGTTAAAATGACATGGTTTGAAATATAGTGTAATTTTGTTTTAACTGGCCAACTTGGAGAAGTTGATTATTATTTGTAAATGTTCATTGCTCACACATATAAGTATGCCACTGCCATCATTTACATAATTTGTGTAATGATGTTATCTTATATATGATGCAAATGATTTAATTTGCATCACATCAACAGGCCTGTTACATGTGAAGTCTCTTTCATCACTGCTAGATTCTTCACTTCCACATTCTGATAGATGAGACAAACTTGGATGAGGCCTCTTTGATTCTTATGTCAAGAAAGATAAATACTTGCAGATCACCTTTTTGCCCATTCAGCTTTCAGAACAATAGGGAGCCATCAATTTTAACTAACTCAGCATTTTCCCTGCCAGTCAGGATTCAGGGGTTGGGTTTCAACAGACATCTCTAGCATAAACTTAGAACTTCTTCTGAACTGGTTTCTTTTTCTTCTTTGACCTGAGTCTTTTGAACATTTTTAAGGGACTAAATACATCTTATTTTGCTATACTAATGCTCATAGGTACCCTTCTCTGTTTGGGGAATAAAATGAAAAGACAGCATCAGGAAAGCTAAATCCATGTAATGCCGCATTCCCCAATCCCTCTTCCTTACTTCTTTTTAAGAATCATAAACCATAGTGTTGAAAGAGCCCATTTAAACCATCAAGTCGAATCCCCTCCATGCAGAAGGTTAAGGCATCTTAACAGATGGTCCTCCAACCTTAGCTTGAACATCTGCACCAACATCTGCCATGTCTCCTCTGGACAAAAGCTCCACTGCTAAATTGCTCTTACCATGAAGGCTTTTTTCAACCTTCAGAGCATGCTGCTCTATAAAAAGGGATGTACTGTATATAATCCCATCTTTGAAAAAGACAGTAGCTGGTGAATCCAATCTACTCATAACCACCATAAGACAACCGTGCTATAGATACTTATCTATAAATATTTATTGTGTAGAGTCAGGATTTGGGGCTGTACTTTGACATCCAACACAAGCACTATGTTAAATTCATTGAATGAAATCTGATATTTTTTTGTCATGGGACCATAACAGAGAAAGTCAACAGGACTTATGACCAATCATCTAACATTCAAGATACCCACTGAAGCTATCCTATCTCAGCCACAGCCACAACACTGAATACAGCCCACCAGCTATGCAGACCTACGCAAGAGCTTAACATCAGTATAAAGAAAAACCACCAAATTAGATTCAGTAAAAATGGTCTAATGGCCATTGGATTCTGTTTCCCCACACCATCCAGACTTAATAACACATCTGCTGTTGAAAGCCCCCTGCAGTCCATTTCTTGGACGTGACAATGTCTCTTCAGTTCACAACCTCTATATGGCTCTCACAAGAGCAATCAGCGTGTAAAATATAACTCTGAGGAACACTTGCAAACTCTTGATGCAAAGGAAGCACTGAAGGGTTCAGTGAATGTCACTGAAGTATTCCACATATTCTATCCAACCTAGCAGTTCTCTATTTGTGAGTCCATAGAAATATACAGATGGTAAATGTCTAGCAAAAACTTGTACCAAAAATAGCCTCATACGTAGATCTCTATTTCACTGCCAAAAAGAGCTCTATGCACACATCTCCCCTGCTCAGGAGAGAGTGACCCTATCCAGTCAGCATCAAAGCTTTGCTCATGATCACCAACTGTGCTTCAGAGTTCCCGGGCATACAGGGAACCGGTAGCTTGTCAGAAATAGGTTCTAAGATTTCTGATCCTGTTGGCATTGCAACAGAGATTTGATTAGGCTGATTGAATTATGGGATCATGGGAAAGCAGCAACTGGCAGAGGAAAGCAGAGAGCCAAATAGACAAAGCAGAAGACTCAATCTCTAAATCTCTGTATAAAAGCATATATATAAAATTGAATATGGGAAGTGGGAAATCCTTTCAGGTGGGTATATATTATTTAAACCTAGCCACAGATGAAAATCAAAGTATATCAGCTCTCTGCCCCATTTATTCCTAAATGCCTGATTTAGGATTCTCAAGAAGCCCTTTGTTGTTTTATATAGAAAGGAAAGAAAACAATACAGCATGCTGATATGAAAAGAAAATAATAAGATGGGAGGAATATAATCAGAGTTGTGTTTAGTATTTGTTTAAAATTAAAAATAATAGCAAAAGTCTATGTACAGAAAGTGCTGGTGGAAGGGAATGGCATTCACAGAAAATCAAAAGCTGATAGAAAATCAAGAGGAAGGCTTCAGGTGAGGCATCACAAGAATAACCATGAGATTAAACAGAAGGGGATGGTGCCCTGCTTTCCAATGGTTGCTACGCTGTATGACAACAGTAAATGTGATTAAACAGATGGTATTTGTGCCCTGCAAGTACCTAGAATGGCAATTTGCCACTTCATGTTGAAAGATGGCAGAAGAGCCATTGTTCAGTGACAGCCATGTCAATCCTGGATAACTTCAGTTAAAGGATGCTGGGCAGCGAGATTGGGAAAAATCTATGGACATCTGCTAAGAAGAGCAGACTTTCACAAGGCTTCATGACAAACCATGTGACCCAGCTTAGAAGCTGCTTCTGCTTCAGTTTCATCTCCCTATCAGAGGATGGCCACTTCCACTGAACACTGAAGTGGTTTATTTGGATGCCAAACATGGAGCTTTAGGAAGAGGGAAAGACATGTCCTCAATGCTCAGAATGAGGAAAGGGAACAGGTCTTGGCCCCTCACAAAGAACAGAACATTCATGTTCACACAGCGGCAAGCAGCAGCAGGCAGGAGTCAAGAAGGACCTGGAGAAGCAAGCATGTCCTTCCCGATAGATACCTTCTTCTTTGCCAGCAACAAGTCTTGGTAAGCATTGGAACGGAGGAAACGTGCATAGCTGTCACTCTTCATCAGCTTGTAAATATGTTCCTGTGGGAAGACAAGAAATGACAGGGTGAGATTTATTATTGGACACTGTTCAACAATCTCTGGGCACCTACGGGGAAAAAAAGTGAAATATCAAAGCATAACTGAAAGGTTCCCCCCCCCCCATAATTTCTAAAACACGGTGACAGATGTTCCACAATGGACTATCAGCTAGATGAAAAGAAACCTTGGCATGGCTTTGTTCCAGGATAGAAGGAATGATTATTTATGTAATTGAAGGTTTCTTCCATCTTTCAGTCCAAAGGACTAAATAAAAGCTTATCTCTCTCTCTCTTTTTTTTTTTTTTTTGCATAATACTGCCCTTCAGATGTTCATTTTTAGTATTCGGAATCTCTAATGTAGATTAGAATCATATTAGGTGAGATAGTAGGATTCTAACCTGTTGCTCTCCACTGACTGTATTCATACAAGAAACGTGTCCTGGTTACCGAATTAGACCATTTGAGGGGTTGTGTGATAAAAATAAATAAATCATAGTTTGGTTCAAACTGCAGCTATTAAGAAAAAGTACGATCAATAACTATGATGGGGTACAGTGGGATTTCTGGTCACACTCACAACAATATAAGACCCTACTATTAGACTGAAGATGCAAGTTCATACTGTATACATTTATCTGGAAGCAAAACTTAATTAGAAGAAAAAAGGATCTGGAAGCTGCTTGGAACAATGAAAAGGACTATATTGCAGAGCACCACATAACTATGTGGAGTTGCTATAATGGGTAGGATAATGTGGTTGAAGAGAACAAGGACTGCTAAGATTTAAAGAGATAAAGAACATGCAGAGTGATTTTAAGGGGGGGGAATTGTTTGGGAAGTGGTGAAGAGGCTAAGCAAGGAGCCTTCAATAAAAGTGATAAAATTATTTCGAATGAAATGAAATGAGGGAATGCTGGAACAATTATCTTAAAGGTTTCTAAGAAAATGGCAGTTATATGTTGAATGCTATAAACGTAAGTGTTCTAGAAAACTAATGATGAAAAGGAAATCATAAATGCTGAGGGAATGTTGGGAAATGTAGAGAAGTTTAACAGGAGAAATGTTAACACGTAGATACAATTTGTGTATTGAGTAACTGTGCAATGTGTGTAATATGTGTATGAAGACTGCAGCTGTGCCTAGCAATTAGAAAAATGTTTTATTGTTCTTCTGCACAGGAGAAAAGTAGAAAGAGTGAATGAAAAATCTATAGGAAACGTAGTTTGTAAAGTTTGTCTGGAAACAAGAGCATCCATAAGAAACTGAAGAAGCTAAACAACAACAACAACAACAACAATAATAATAATCGCGTTGGAAGGGACCTTGGAGGTCTTCTAGTCCAACCCTCTGCTCAGGCAGGAAACCCTATACCATTTCAGACCTAGATAAGCAGCAAAAAGTTTCAAACCAAAAAAAGGAAAGATGTCCAGTTGCCATGGCTCAACTTCCAGACAACTCTATCTGGGTGACTGAGAATCTTCACTGACATACTGCCATGCACTTTGGGGAAGAAACCCGGAGGCTGGTGTGGGGCTATGAAAAGATAGCAAGAAAAGATTCCCAAGAGTGATGATCCAAAAAAATCAAGATGGCAACCACAACTGTATGGAACGCTTTCCTTTGTATATGCATGCAGAAAACTATATGGGACTTATTTAAGGCATACAAGAAATAGGGAATTGGTTTTGACAGTGAAAATGAAATATTTTTTGCAAGTTATAACTAAATGGCAAAAAAACCTAAAGCAAATAGGTGAAACTGTGTACTATGTTTAATAAAGAGGGGGAAATGGAACAAGAAATGTTAAGGCATGCAAATGTTGACGGAAAAGTAAAGCAGAGTATGTGGTTCAGTACAGTATTGTATTACAGTGAATAGATATTTGTTGAAAGAAGTTAAAATACCTGTCTATAAGAAAGTGGGTTTGCCCATTTTTGTTATCCGGAAATGAGATTGAATGGATTGTAATGGAGAATTTACAAAGACCGTAACTGAAATGGATATTGGATGGTTATGGTTTGAATGCAAAAGTTTGAGTCCAGTATAGAAGAAATATGTTGAGGTGCTTTGGTTATATGGACAGTATTAATGAAAACTGAATTGCAAAGCCATTTGAATGAAAAGTAAATGGGTTGAGAGGAAAGAGAAGACTCCCTCGGATCGGGTACGCAACTTGGGTGTCCTCCTGGATCCACAGCTGACACTGGATGACCAGTTGGCGGCCGTGACCAGGGGGGCGTTTTATCAGGTTCGCCTGATTCACCAGTTGCGACCTTTTCTGGACCGGGACGCCCTACGCATGGTCACTCATGCCCTTGTCACCTCCCGCCTGGACTACTGCAATGCTCTCTACATGGGGCTCCCCTTGAGGAGCACCCGGAGGCTCCAGCTAGTCCAAAATGCGGCCGCGCGGGCGGTGTTGGGAGGGACTCGTCGCTCCCATGTAACACTGCTGCTACGCGAGCTGCATTGGCTGCCGGTGGCCTTCCGGGTGCGCTTCAAGGTGCTGACCATCATCTTTCAAGCGCTCCATGGCATCGGACCCGGATACCTTCGAGACCGCCTCCTGCCGCAGATTACCCCCCATCGACCTGTACGCTCCCACAGAGTGGGTCTCCTCAGGGTGCCGTCAGCCAGACAGTGCCGGCTGGCGACCCCAAGGGGGAGGGCCTTCTCTGTGGGAGCTCCCACCCTCTGGAATGAACTGCCCCAAGAGATCAGGGTGATCCCTGATCTCCCTTCCTTCCGCCGCGCCCTTAAGACATGGTTATTCCAGCTTGCGGGACTGGCCTAGGGGAAACTTTTAGAGGGGGTTTTAATTATATTTTAATTAGATTAAATTTAAATATTTCCTTTTTAACTAATTTTTAAATTTGTAATGTTATTTGTGTATTTTTACCCGATTGTTAGC